GGGAAGAGAGAAATTTTAGTGGACGAGAACCAGTGCACTCTGATTACCTTGGGAAACAGAATCGTGACAAACATTCTTTCGACTGAAACAAGCAACCCTGCTCTGGCCTTTCAGCCATTATTGGGTCTGAAATGCATTAGCACAAAGTAAAGTGCAGAGCTGCTGATCGGCTGTTAGATTTTCTGATCTAAATGATCCATTAGGATCTGCCTGTCCAGAAAATTCACTTTGTGATCCAGTTTCTACTGTCTAGCAGGCAGTTATCTTGTTTCTGGAGGGGGAGGGGTCCTAAAGTTGAATATTAAGATCCAATTCAAAAAGTGGTTACTGAGTGCTTGGTATTAGTGCAGAACTGGTCAATGCAGAGCAGTTTTTGTCTGCAAAGAACTCATCTGATTTAAACCATGACCCAGTATAATGCTCATGTATGTTTTTTATTATTTTGCTTGTATATGTATAACAGGCATAAAAGGCCTGGTGCTCTCCATGTTGGGGAGCTCATCATCAAAGCAGAGGTACGTATGCTGATGCAAAGATGTAAAAGTGTTTCTCTTCCACAACATGATATGATTGCCATATTAAGAAAAATAAGGGCTGCTACCTTGGGCAAGGTCAGACCATTGGTCACTCTGAAGCTCAAAGGCCTGGCCAAGTAGCTATGACAGGTGATGAAACAGCTGCCTAGCTATGTTATCTGTCAGTTTCTTTGGCCAGCAGAAACAGATTCTTACCCTCTGCAGCATGTCATACATTTAAAGGATAGAGTCAAATCTGGAGTCCCAAACCAGCAAAACTCTCTTACTTACACAAAAAATTTATATTGACAGTGTAATTCGGAGGGCCTTGGAATGCAGCCACATTTAAGTGACATATAGCACACAGTTCCAGTACCTGGGACATATGGTTAAGTTCTCAGAACTCTGCCTCCCTTCCATCTTCCGTGGGTGGTACAGGACTGTGTCAGAGAATACACACTTTCATGTGTTCTGCTTCCTAAGTGGCGGCTACTGTTACTGTTTCTGAAAACCAAATAATGCAATAGCTCTGTCTCCCAAGTATGGAAAAGGACCAACCAGCAATAGCTGCATGGTCTAAGAATGTGGGGAAAGGAAGACAGCAAAGAGATGGGGGGGAAGCTCTGTATCTTAGGAGACTTTGTGTTGTCATAGCTCACAAAACTGGACACCAAAAGTGAACACAAACACAGCACCCTGTTAAAAGCCAAGATTTAATTATTTCTGAATAAAACAAACCATCCAAAATAATATAGATATTTTTACTTCATTGATTTCTAAACTTAAGAAGAAATCTAAGGCATCAAATGCTACCTCGTATTCTTGAGTTAAAGAGTTAAACTATTTGTTTAAAAATATATATATATAAGAGGCCATCTGAACAATTAACCAAATCATTTGTAAATGAAGCACAGCTTGCATTGAGCAGCATGGCAAAGTGAATTATGGAAAGAGAAAATGAAAGTGGTGTCTTCCTCTACTAGATTACCTAGATGCTTCTTCCCTAAAAATCCAGTTACGGGCCTCCACAAATAATCTCAGACGGATACTGTCATTTCAGTAAGTTAAGGAAAACTAGAAAAGTACGGTGATGAGTTCCATGACTACTGTATCATGCCAAAGTATCTGTAAAAGATTTTACAAGGCATCTCTGTCCTCATTTTCATCAAGATTGCAACCACAACCAAGGAGCTCTTTTAGTATAGATTTGTGCATCTATTTTTGGTAGAAAATACAGTTTTACAATAGTTTCTTACTGCCATATTTACAAAACAGATGGAATATCAGAAAATGTTTTAAATGAGAAGTATAATTCTGGTCAGCCTACAGTGTCTTTCTGCGTATGTCCCCCATGTTGGCAAGAAGCCTCTTTCTTTGCCTACCATTTATCACAATTAGGCCCTTAGTCCTCTCTCTGGTTTAGGGATCCATACCTAACAGAGATGTGAAGATTTAAAAGACAGGCAACAAAAAGCATGAGGCTGACATTTCAACAAACGTGACCCCATAAATACTAGCTTCCTTCCCTTAGCCAGCATTCACTCTGCCACTGTCTCTAGTTAGCACCTTGCTTACTCACTGACTCCCACCTCTCCACAGAGACTACCTGACCACATTCACTTCTTAAAACCCGCTAGAATAAGCACAAGAAACCAAGGGGAGGCATCATTACTGCCTTTTCACATGGGTTCTGCTTAAGCTTAAGCACTTGTTATTTCTTAACAAAAGTGAAATATAATTTCTGCCATTCATGAGACAAAAATATCTGTGCAGTATTCATTGCTTTATGGAATTTGACTTAAAGTAAAAGACTTCTTTATTAAGATATTAGCTTGATTCTGTAACATGATGTCTTTAGAAAACACAACACTGAATTCCTAAAATCTTGATGTTTCAAAGCACCAATTCATGGGGAAATATATCAAGTAGTTACCTGTTTATGTATTTATTTATTGTAATATTTTATGTATTATTTTTATCTTATGTGTATGAGTGTATTGCCTGCATATATGAGTGCACCTGTGTCGTGCAATGCCACGGAGGTCAGAAGAGGGCTTCAGATTCCCCTGGAACCGGAGTTAAGGACGGTTCGCAGCCACCATGTAGGTGCTGAGAATCGAACCCGGGTCCCCTGCAAGAGCAGTCACTGCTCTTAACTGCCGAGCCATCTCTCCAGCCCAGTAGTTACCTGTTTAAATCCAGTGTCTTCTCTTTCTTAAACCCCGGGCACAATCAACTTTCAACACTGCTTCCATAATTTTCAGGAATGATTAAGAAAACATAAAATAAAAGCCAGAAAGGGGAGTGTCAAGTTATCTTGTGATATACAAGACAACAAGACATGATTGATAAATCCAAAACACCTGTTTTAGAAATTAACAGCACAAGCCAGGTGTGGTGGCACATGCCATTAGTCCCAGTACTCAGGAGGCAGAGGCAGGTGGATCTCTGTGAGTTCAAGGCCAGCTTGGTCTACAAAGTGAGTTCTAGGCCAGCTGGGGCTACAGGGAGACCCTGT